AGAGGTCCTTTATATGATCACTAATTAGCGGCCTTTTTTCTGACGAGGTGTAAATAGGCGTCAGGAAGCAGACCGCCATCATCACGATTTAAAGCCCGGTCCTCGCTAGCGACGCAAGCTTTGGCATAATCATAAACACAAGAAGCTCATGCGCTAGTAAGAACAACGCGCATAAGCATACAGGCATGCGTAGAGTGTATTTTTGTGTCCATTCCCTCTCGCCAGTACACCTATTCAAAATGGCGGACGAAGAGGACTTCTTGTTGCTTCTTGCACTTGTTGTTACTTTACGCCGGCGCAGACGACAGAAACGACGTAATGTAAAGCCTAAAAGGTTTTGGGTCCGAGAAATCTTTCGTAATCGCAAAAGATGTGGGGAATTTCACAATCTTGTACGGGAACTTCGACTTGGTGATCGTGAGCTGTACTTTAGGTGAGCTACATTTTACTTGTTTAATTAAATTCCTGTAAGACCAAATAATCAATTTGTATCCTGTCTATCTCCCTCTAATATATCCACTACAAATCTTTAAAAACCAAGTACGTATGTAATAGTCTAATGCAAAGGAAAACAAATTAGTAAGCCGTGAATTAAACAAGGAAAGTAGTCGATGTGGTGGTTCTGAATTCTTGAAATTACTGCGAAGCAAACTTCACAAAATGAAAGGTAGCCAGGAAAAAAACCAAGCAATTAAAGGAAATAACGGCTATTAAGTTTGAGGCTGGGTAGAAGACTAAGACTACTGTTAAACTATATTGTGCACAATACAGCATCAACAAACTTGTGAAAATCATTGTTTTCTTTTAGTTTGCTTTAACTATACAATTTTTGTAAAGCGGAAAAGTAATGGATGGTTTGAGCTATATAAGCATTTTATTATTATTATTGTTATTATTATTTTCCAGATACATGCACATGTCACCTGAAAGTTTTGATCACCTTCTTTCTCAGGTCAGCCCACTCATCTCAAAGCATACTACCAAATTAAGGGAGTCAGTTTCAGCCACAGAAAGACTGGTCCTGACTTTAAGGTTCCTAGCATCTGGGAACAGTCAATGTCATTCTTTTATCGTGTTGGTAGACAAACAGTCAGTAGTATTACCAAGGAGACCTGCCGTGCTGTTTGGCAGGTGCTTAATGAAAAGTATTTGAGAGCACCAAGTTTGCCTGATGACTGGGAGGACATAGCAGAAGGTAATCACAATTACGAAGGTTTTTTCAGCATTGTTTTACTGGCCATTTGTGACGCTCACTACATTTTCAACTTCATTAATATTGGAGACTATGGAAGCAACAATGATAGAGGAGTACTGGAAAACTCAGATGTGGGAAAAGCCTTTGCTAATAATAGTCTAGGTGTTCCAGATCTAGCTCCAGTAGAAGATTGTGATATACCAATTCCATACTTCATTGTTGGGGATGATATCTTTGTGTTGAAAACATGGCTACAATGTTCATTTCCAGGCTGATCAAAGCTGTCAGAAGCTCAACAAATTTTCAATTATCATTTGTCAAGAGCTAGACGTGTCATTGAGAATACTTTCGGCATTTTGAGGGCAAGATGGCGTGTTTTTGGTCGTCCAATTCAGGCCTCAGTGCAAACAGCAGGAGAAATTACCAAAGCAGCTGTGTGCCTACATAATTACCTGAGACAAACTAACAGTGCATCCCACTGCCCATCAGGATTTGTTGACAGTGAAGATGGAAGTGGTGATATAAGACCAGGGGAGTGGCACCAGGTTGTCTGCAATGACAGCAGAGGGGCACTGTTTGACATTGCTCCACTGAGGGGCAGAAGATATTCCAACTCAGCCATTGAAGTCCAGGAGGCATTGATGGAATATTTTGTTTCTGATTCTGGATCCCTCCCGTGGCAATGGAATCATGTAAGAAGTAGAGGCCAAATTGTTAGTGAGAAGGACAAATTTTCTAAAGCATAGAATTTGCAATTGTTGAGATCACTGGTACATTGTCTGCTAGAAACTTGTGCATTACCATTGTGTTTTTTCTCTTTCTGTAAAATACATGTACATGGCCCAGACTCCCTGGTGAAAAGCCTTACATGACCTTTAAGATCTTTCAAGATCCTCCAGGATAATGAAAGCAAAGTGGTACCTGATATTATTTACCAAGTGGAGAGTCGTTCCTGTGGCATGCATAAGAAAAAGAGGACTGATTTACACTATATGTCAGTTTGTGGTAATATATAGGAGTCTAGTAGAACAAGAAAATCTGTTAAAACTCAAACCATAAACGTGTTTCCACACCTTTTTTAAGTTACCTTTGAAGAGATTGTGATAAGCAGAAAAGAATAAAAATGTAATATTCCTTACAGTTTATAGTAATAAACGTTCTTCAACAAATTATAGAGCATAACTGATCTTGCTTTCTTTACAGAACAAACAAATGTGCTTATGAGCTCCATAAATCATTTGAATACAATTCTGTAGATACAATATCAGGCAGATAAATAAGAGCTAAATAGAAATGTTTAATGAACATTAACTGTTCCATATGATGTAATTGTCTTGTTTTCTCAACTGTGTGGCAATTACAAAGCAACACGTTTAAAAAGAAGAACCCAGTCTAACAACAACAACTTTTCAATATGATAATATGATATTGATTATTGTGAACATGTTTTATCAATTTTCTGACTGTCGAAGTTGTTGCAAAAACATCCTTGGGTAAATACATGATTATCTCCACTTTGCATTTCTGTTAATGCAAAAGATGGAGCTGGAGGTGGTGTTGTTTCCCTAACATTTGTTTGAATGTAAACTTGTGGCATGTCATGACTCCTTTGCTTTTGAGTTGGAAATCCACCTGCTAAATAACCTGGGTTAGGGTTAGAATTCTTTCTTAACAAACGAGAATAGACCACATTGCTTATTTCCATTTTGGCCATGACCCTCTCATGGTATGGCAACTGACGAAGTTGAGATGCAATCAAATCACCAAAAATGCTTTCTTCATCTCTTTGGGGTTGTGTTGGCTTTTCCTTGAGCCTGTCTCCAATTGTCTGAAGGAATTCCAACTCAGCACTGTCAACATCATCCTTTGCCCTATTACGCTTACCTGGGACTTGAACATCACTTTGTTGTCAGGTTCTACTGAATTTCTGTCATAGATAGTCATATCTTTATCAGTGCTATCAGCTGTGAGGTCACTACCAAATTACTTGTATTACTTCGTGGTTGTATGTATGGCTCAAGCCATTCCAAATAGAGAAACAATTCTGATGTTTCTCTCTTAGCATCTGTCACAGAATCTGTTCCTGTTCCACTGACCGTAGCATTCCTGACCCCCTTCTTATCTCGACTGTATCCATTTCTTAAATTTCTGAATGCTGTTTCTGCCTCTTTTCCTACAAAAATACCAATAGACGCAACGAAATGAATGACGAGTTTGTATCTGTCCGCCATACTAATCAAGGGGTTGTTATAGAAAGATTATAAAAAAAACACCCAGGAAAACCACAGTAAAAAATCAGTGTAAATATGGCAAATAGAATTCTTATATATCTTAAGTTTAGTTAAGCTTAATGAATGTACAATTATCCTCATATTCATAACTACAAGGGTCATTTATCAGCCATGAAATCGCTTATCCGACGTTCACATAAGCATTTCATACCTATTTAAAGTCAGTCATCTTCATTTTAGACTATTATTATTGGCATAAACAAAGGAAAACTCCCTTCAGACTCTTTCAATTAAATTGATTACAATCGTTCATTGCCGAGAAACCATACTCCAGAGCGTTTCCCTCTTACGCCTGAGTCCTTGGTTGTGATTAAAACGCCAAAACAACTAATTCGACAATCATTAAAAACATTAAGTCCAGCTTGTTCAAACGCGCTACCAGTACGAAATCCAAACTGATTAGAGAAAGAAAATAATCCATAAATGACTAACCTGACGGAAAACTGACCTCCTTCGCCACATCCTCTCATACTCTTTCCTTCTTGTGTCTGTCTTTGAAATCTTTGGATGATTTGTCATAGAGGATCGGGAATTTTCTCACCGATTATGCCAGCTTTTCATCAACTATTGCATTGCCCGCCATTTTGTTTCCCGAGGGAGCGGTCTGGGACCTAGTATTTAGTGATTGGCTAGTAGTCTTGTGCTTATGCTTATGCTTATGCTTATACTTATGCTAACCGTGTCCTCACTGGAAATAACAACGACATAAGCATAAGCCTAAGCATAAGAAGAACGCAAGGTTTTGATATTCTTATGCTTATGTCGCGGTTGTCCTCACTAGCGCATAAGCTTCTTATGCTTATGCTTGCGCTGGTGCCCTTTCATCAAGAGCGTTACTATTTGTAACTGGTTTTTGGCAGTTACTGAGAAAAGTTTTTGTATAGCCATTTGCCTTTAGGACATTGGAAACATATTTTCTTTCCTCAGCCTTCGAATCCAGTGAACTCAATTTGTTTCTCCTTTGTTTCTAATAGATGGAAAATGAGTATTACGTTAGGCATGGATTAGATAGATTTTTGTAATTTTTTACATGCTTATTTTCATTTGTGACACCAAACGAAACGAAATGAAAATCTGTAATTTGCGAATTGAACTAAAAATCTGTAATTTGCGAAAGGAAAATCTTAAATTTGCGAATCGGTCAGGTCACAGTTCAATTCACCCCAAACATGTAAGCGTACTTATGGCGAAACAGTGCTCAGTATTTGCATACGCAACCTAGCAAATAATACCAATTAGTATTAACACTTGAACCCCCAACCTTAACCTTTTTTCTGATCTCTGTCCAATATCGAAGAATTTTTACTGTATAAAGGGAAAATGGCATGAGATTACGATGATGTTTTCCCTCTGAGGAGGAATGTGTGAGGCTTCCGGTTTTCTCTCGGTCACAGGATGTGACATGTCACGCATTCAAATATTGATTCTAAAACTCTTCATAGTCAACCCCCTTGGGCCGATCGTGCAAAATTGCACGATGACTTTGACCTTTTCGGAAATGCTCGTATTACATCCCACCGCTCTGAAATTCCGACTGTAGCATGTAGACATTCTAAGCCAATCACATGGCTAGTTTTAGCTCCAAACGTGACCTCGGGAGCCCGTTCCAAAAATCATTTGCGTACGATTGCAATCTGCGACGATGGCGCCCGATGCGAAATGCTAGAGATACAGCGTAGCTAAGGCTTTAGAGATGATTTTGACGATGGAAGTGAGCATAGTGGTATGTCTAGTGGTGAGGAATCCGAATTAGACAGAAAACTGGAAAATCCTAGCGAAGAATCGAGGTAAGTAATCTGTAAACATTCTTGCGGTATTTAATTGCGTGACGCATGTGGTGTTAAAACATTTACTTTTACTTTTCGCGCACGAATCCTTGTTTTTTGCCTTGAGACAAACCTGTAAATGTATATTTGTGAATGTAAAGCAACACATATTGTTATCAAACATGATTTAAAAGCGACAGAGTAAATAATCTTCAATGGAATGTGAGAACGCAACGGCCTAATGCCGCATTCACACCAAAGCTTAAACATGTTTAAAAGTTGTTTTGTTAAACACAGTTTAATTTTTTTTTTCTTTTTAGAAACTATTTAACCGAATATTTTTGACTTGAATGTAGCACATTGGAAATGCAAGTTAGCAAGTACTTGAATCCAATGGAAAATCAAGTTTTTCAGTGCTCTGTTTATAATTTTCATTCAATGAAAACCAGTTTAACAAAACATGTTTTGCTGGTGTGAATGGGGTATAAGTTATCAGCCGATGACAGATCGAATGACGCAGTGTGCGTCCATACTAAATCAGATAAAATCTTTTATTTTTAAAACGATAGTTGTATATATATCGACCTGTACATTATCTTTTATGTTTTGTATGTTTTTTAGATGTGGTTCTACTTGTTACATGCCGAAAATTCACAAATCAAACAAATTATGTTCAAGAATGAGTGGAATGATATAGAATGACAGTTTCCGGTTTCACTTCTGAATTGTTTTACTCTAGAAAAATACTGGTGGTGCATTGCAAGTGAAAGACTTTTGATATATGTTGCGCTTTATGTATTTTGAGGTTGATTATCTCATTTGTCCCTGTTTCAAGGCAAAATTTCAGCAGTCAAACAAAGAAATATAGGTCCAATGGTTGCACTGTAGACTTCAACATTTACATTGGGAAAGATGCTGCAAGAGGGATTAGTAAATTTGGGCTTGGACATGATGTTAAGGTAAGACTTATTTGTCTGTACTTCAATCAGTGTTCACTAAATATGTGTAATTACCACATATCAGATTTGTTATTTTCCAACCAATTTTTATGGAGATGTTGCCCATATAACGAGGAACGTTTTCAGTTAATTTTTGCCTCATTACTTTATATCATTTGGGTATCACTTAATTCACAGTTCAAATTTTGATGATATTTTATGCTAATTAGTGTTAGTTTGAAAGCATTCAATGAGGTTGTTTCCTTTTTCTTGGAGAGGAAACATGCATGTCAGGAAAGCTTATTTACTGCTTTTTCAATTGAGGTATAGCTTACTTCCCTTGTGTAAATACTTGGTGAGGAATAAATTTTTCAATAATCTGGGTCAATTTTTATGGTTTCGGGGTACAGTTTGGAAAAAAATTCTAATTAATTCTGTATTTGTTCTTTTTTCAGCCAGATTCTCTGGATGTCTTGCCCATAAGATAAGGAATATTTTATCTTTGAAATGTTTCCTTGTAACTCCACTCCCTGAGGCCCAGGCTGTTTCAAAGTCAAAAGTTGTCTGATAATTTATGCAAATTGTAAGCCATTTTCTTAGCATGATTTAAAATACATGGAGTTTTGAAGGCAAAATATTTTTTTCTGCAAAGCTTATTTTGTCCTCTTTCAAATGAGATATAGCACTACTCACTAGTGTAAATACTTTTGACAAAAAAAAAAAATAAAAGAAAAAAAGGTTGTTGTCATTTGCCACTTTTTTATGTCTACTATTTTAAGCTTACAAGGGAAGATTTCAAAAAGTACGCCCCTGGGATTTTCCTTTTGCACTTTTGATGGTGGTTGTTTGCTAGATTGTGTATCCAATCTGCTCTTGTGGTAAATTGACCGATTCATCCCTCTGGCCAGGTGTCATGAAGTTTTGAGCATTTCTCGTTCCTCAAATACCAGCAAAATTACGATATTTTAGTTCATTTTGTTTCATTTTGCAAATTACAGTAAGCCATTTAACCCTGTACAATTCTTTTTTGGATGTCTTGTTTTTCCTCTACTTCATCTGACTTCCCCTTGACTTGTTTTCTTGATGTCAGTGTACAATTCTTGTCTGATGTTTGCTTTTTGATACAGTTTTCATCACATAGACAAAGATTTATTATACAGTAGTTTCCAGTCAAATTAATTTTCATGCATTTAGAAATTTTACTTCTTTTTCATTTATCATTCAAGTGGTCTTGTTTAAGTTGGTAAATCTTAGCTTATATTACATGAATAATAATAAAACAGCTTTAGAGAGATCCATTTTCACAAATGTAATTTTTATGAAGAATCTAAATCCTTTTTGTTAAAAAAAAAAAAACCAGCATGCAGATCTGGAGGATGCTAATGCTTCATTTGAAGAATCAAGCACTTCTAGTAATGAGACTGACTTAGAGCATGGAGAACAGCTTGGAATGTCTCTGAGAAGTCTTCATGGTAATCTCATGAACTCTCAGCAAGGTCATTTTGAGCAGAGTGAACCACTGACAAAGAATAACTGGCAAGATGCTGTCCAGGCAATTCAAGCACTAATCACCAGGTCAAAAAAACAGCGTAAGGGCAAGATGCAAAGTACAGGTAAGCTTAGCTTGTCCTTAAAACATTTTATCTACATGTATTTAGATTATTCGTTTTTATTTTTCTTAACCCTTTGAATGTCATAACAATTGTTACCTTTGCAACTGGTAGTCATCTTGGATTTTTGGACAAAACAGCTTCATCGTCTGCATAGTTGAATAACTCTTGAAATTACTGATGAAATTGTTAAAATGAGCTCAGAATTGTGGAATGTAGTAGTATGTATTAGGTTAATGATAAACTGAAATTGAATGGGTCTGTAACACTGCTCCCAGTGTATTTCTATCTGGAAGAACTCTCTTTGCACCTCTGACAGCATTACCTCTTCTTCCTCTCCTCTAGTGGGTGCTACATTCATGTAATGTTGTCATGAAATTTGTTTGCAGCCTATAATTATGGTCAGCATAATTTACTGGTCTCCCTATCCCTCTCAAGTGAACCAGAGAAATCTTCCAACCAAAGTAAAAATATTTTGTGGAGAAGGTGATGTGGTATCAGAAGTCACATAGGACTAATTTATGCACCTCCTTCTATTATTTTTGTTTTGCATGCATGTCTCCAAACATTTCAGATGTTCATCATCGTGCATTGTTTAAGTGAAATATGAATTTTAATGAGATAGTTAATGGATAACATTTCTTTCCGACCAACACACATAGGTATAATGAACATAGTAGAAGAATGTTTTGTGAAAAGATCACAGTGATCAGTTGGTGTTACTGTATTCCATGTTTATTTTTGCATGGAATAGGCATAGTTAAAAACTAAAAGAGAAACAAACTTGCCAATTCACATTCAACATATTAGCATTTATTTATTAATTATTCAATATTGATTTTTCAATATTAATTAATTATTCAATATTAACCACCATCAGAACATGGAGGACAGCAGACCACAGCTCATGGGCTACAACAGCCCCAGGAGACTTCTAAACTGAGCTTGGAGCCAGGTAAGCATTGCTTCTTACAGAAACATTTTACATACACATATTAGCATTTATTTATTAATTATTCAATTTTAAATAATGGGCCAACATGTGCAATTTCATATTTTCTAGGCAAAAGAAAATGATCCAAGTTGGAGTTTCCCTTTTTTTAAATAACTCTTGAAAATTGCATTGAATTAAATACAGTAAACACTGACAGAGAAGCAGAGCCTTTTTTGCAAGTTTAGTGGCTACTTAAAGTCTTTTGTTCATAATCATAAGTATAAATTCCTTTCTATGGAGAGACATCAAACCTTTTTTGTTAAGAGACTTTTCAACCACTTTAAGGCTGCCTTAGCTCCCTTGAACAGCTAAACATTATTTGACAAGGAATCTTGGCGTGTACTGCATTGAAAATTTAAAATGCATCAAAAGCTAGTTGTATCAGAAGAGTACCCTTTCTCTTGATCAAATGATGGGTAACATTTCTCTCTGGCCAACAACATACTAGGTACAATGAATAATAGTAAAGGGATGTTAAAGTGATCAATTGGTGTTACTGTATTCTACTTTTGTTTTCGCAGGGTTCATAGGTGTGAATGGTACCAATTCAAGCTGTGCAAATGGATGGGAGCATACTGGTGCTAAACCCAAATCAACTGTTCCAGGAGCCCCCTCAAGTTCAGTGCTTGATAAAAAGGTCTTGACTGGGCAATCCCATGTCAAAGGCATACATGAACAGCTAAGCAGTGGAGGAGGGTCATCTATTGGGTTTTCCTTACATGGAGCTTCTAATGTGGACCACTTGAGGGACCAGACAGGCACATTGAGATGTGTTCCCCCACCACCAGAACATGAAGGAAGGCAGACCACAGATCATTGGCTACAACAGCCTCAAGAGACTCCTAAACTGAGCTTGGAGCCAGGTAAGCATTGCTTCTTCCAGAAACATTTTACCCACACATATTAGCATTTATTTATTAATTATTCAATATTAAATAATAGGCCAACATGTTCAATTTTCATATTTTCTGGGCAAAAGAAAATGATCCATGTTGGATTTTCCCTTTTTTTATATAACTATTGAAAATTGTTGTTAGTATGTTAAAAACTAAAAAAAACAAGCTCAGCAAATTCAAATTTCATTAAATCAAATACGGTAAACACTGACAGAGAAGCAGAGCCTCTTTTTGCAAGTTTGTGGCTACTTAAAGTCCTTTGTTCATAATCATAAGAATAAATTCCTTTCTATGGAGAGACAACCACTTTAAGGCTGCCTTAGCTCCCTAAACATTATTTCACAAGGAATCTTGGCATGTACTGCATTGAAAATTTAAAATACATCAAAAGCTAGTTGTACCAGACAAGTACCCTCTTTCCTGATCAAATGCCTGGTTTCTAAGTTATTAATGAACCAAAGAATGATAGCAAGATTTCCTAATGTTTTATGTAAAACTATATTGAAAGTCTAACAGGTATGAAAAAATATACTGGTTGAACAATACCAGAGTTAGATCAAACATAAGTTGGTAGATGTGATGTTCATACTATAATACAACTAAAATTGCAGGAAAGTATTCAAAGTATTCTTTGTTTTTGATGTTAGTGACACAATGCTCATGCACATTCAATGAAGCAATCAAAACAGCTCTCCTGAGACTCCACTTGTGATTTCTTGTCATAAACTTTTTTCTAAAATCTGAGTTGCCAAACTGGAGGAGTCACTTAGCTGTGAGTGCAGTTTATATGGCAATGTTTAGGGTAGTTTTAATAATATTATAATAAATGTTAGATGTTAATCTTAGAGCAAGGTAGGTACTTGTAAAAATCCATGCATTTTTCTGAGATCAGCAATCTGGAATCAAATAAATGCCTTTCTTTCCATCTTCAGAGGGGACATTGAAGTCTAAAACGTTTAGCATTTGATATTTTTTCATCTTCAATTTTCATTTTTACATCTGTGAAACTCAGGATACTGCAAGTACTAGTAGTTGAAATGATTCTTTCTGGGTCCAGATAAATTAGCCAATAGGGAATAAAAGAACCCAACTGTGGGAAGCTCTCATGGTAATAATTGAAGAGATGCATGGAAAAGAAGCCCTTATTGACATTTGATAGACTGCTAGTTCCTCCTTTAAAATTGTCTTGTCTTTCCTTGTGATACTCAGGTATAATTTGATATTCCATCATAAGCCACCCAAAACAGTGTTCTTTGCACCTCTTTCAAATAGTTTTTGGTCTCAAAATATTACAGGTGTTCATCATTAGTTTTGTGAGTGAAACAGTAATTGTTAATTGTATGAGATATGAAATTCAGTGTTTGTGTTGGTATCCCTATGACCAACCAAGGTAGTTGACTTGAAATGAATGTGAAAGATAATTGTATCATGTGGGTGAATCTGTTTAAGTATCAAAGTGATTGGCTGGTTTTGTTATATCCCTCTTAAATTTTGATTCTCTCTCTTTGCAGAGTGCATAGACATGGAAGGCATATCCAATGGTGAAAATGAGTGGAATGGACTGCCCCATGAAACACCAGCATGCGGAATTAACCCTGAGTTTCTTGCCCAGCACTCAACAGACCCTCTCCTTGGAGGTTATACAACAAGCAGTGCTGGAGCAAGCAATACTCAAAATCACCTCATTCAACTGGAGCAGAATGAAGTGCACTGTATGCAACATAATATGCCATCTGAGCAAGATGACATAGTCAGGTGGTCATCTACAAGTATGGAAAGAGAAAGAGTTGCAAGGAGATGGTGTTCTTGCTGCAGAGTGAGTGGATTAATTAAAAGAGTGTGCCAGGCTGTGACCATTTTGGTCTCCATGAATTGCAAGTAGAAACATTTTTGGCTGCTAAATCTGCTGTAAGAATGCGTTCAGCAGTTCAGCAGTTGCAGAAATCAAGTTAAACTGTGATAATGCTGCTTTCTCCTTGACTATCTGTGAGAATAAAAATTAAGGTGTGGCATAAACATCCAAAGACCATTACAAAGAAAATATATATCAGTATATTCAAATGTTTAAATATTCACTTGTAGTACATGGATGTAATGTAATGTTGCAGTAAGCCTTTTAGAATTTTTTTTGGTTTTGTTTTCTGGGAACCATTTTAAAACTTTAAGTTTCCAAGAGAAAATGGTTACTTGAGCAAAGAGCCCTACAAAAGGTTTTGTTTTTTGTTTTGTTTTTCTTTTTTAGACAGTTTTATGAAGGGAGAAATTACTAATATGTTTAATAAATTTTTTAATTCTCTTGTTTTTGTCAACAGGATGATCCAGATTCTATGCCCGTTTGTGAAGTGTGTTGTAGGCACCGTTACTGGTGAGTATTTTAATGAGTTAGTTTACAGAGTGTGAGCAAAAGTTGTTGAAATTTTTCAAAAGTTTGGCCTCTTTATGTATTTATTGTAAGCACTGGCATATGAACTGCATTCATAGGGCTTGGCCATATACCATTTTGGAAAGAAATGTAAAGAATCCCAAGTGGAATCTTAAGAAGATACTTTACTTTGATTGCTTCATCAAAGGTACATGTAGATGCACACAAAGTTGAAACAGTACCATCAATAACATTAAAAACAGAGATTTAACTTTGAATCCTTACCTATAATTGCTGGGTTGCTCACAGCTTAATAGCCAGGCACAAGATCAGGAGAAAGAGTACTGGATATAAGTTGCTTTTGAAGCTTCAATTTCCTTTGCAGTACAAGGCAAGGTTTCTTGTCAAGTAACATTTAGCTGCTGAAGGAAGCTAAGGCAACTTTAGACCAATGAGAAAGTCCCTTAACAAATTACTCAACAAAAATATAAGCTTATGCTTACAAACAAAAACATCTGTTTTAGGGGCCACCAAACTGGCAAAAGCAAAGATAAATTTCTATCCAGCTTGTTTTTTTTTTATGAAGTCTTTATAAGTTTGCTATACAGACTAAGAAATTTTTGATGAATTGTTTTAATTTATGCAAATTTGTGGAATGTTTTCCAGATGTTCTTGTGGATAAGCTCCACACCTGATTTGTTACAAAAATTTTAGGGAAAAGGTGTGGCTTATATGCCAGTGTGACAGTATTAATTTGTTAATTTACATTTTTAATCTTTTGCTTGGGTAAAAAATTATTTCCACTTAATCTTAACATCTTTACCAAAATTATGTCAGAAATCTTCTAAGCATTGTGGCAACTGATGTAGAACTTTTAGCTACCAAAGTCATGAAACAGACAGTGTGGCATATGCCATGTAATGTAATGTGCAGTTTAGAAAAGAGCTGTTTAGTAGTCGTTGATTTCCTTCAATGTGAATTTTGTTTTGTTTGTTAACACAGTGGACCTGGATATCGTCCCCAAATGAACCATGTGGATTTATGTTGCCACTGCTTTGAGGTATTGTATTTTTGCCAAAAAATTACAAATGTAGTGATCTACCCCTTTAGTACAAATGTCTTTCGTTTCCCAGCCTTCTGCAACCATTAAAATCAAAGATAGCAGCCATAGTTTTTGTTACGAAAATACTGAGTACTTGCTTTCCAAAGTTATACCTGAGCATAGAAGCACCTCTAAACAGGAGCAACTTTCTCTCATTAAAATGATTGACACAGCTCCAGTTGTTTCCAACAGATGTTTGTTAGTGTTTGCATGAAGGAAAAGGAGGGCTCACTGTGGGTTGTTTCTGTCATTAACCCTTTAGACCCTATGATCAGTATGCTAATAATTTTTTTAAGGCAAGATCCTTTCCTGACCTCTAGGGGTTTCAAGAAAAGCTGGCAACTACAAAATTGCTGCTTACATTTTTTTGAAACTAACAACATTAGAGTAAAGATCAAACTGCTATCAGCTGCTTACATATACCTTGCAGCTTTTTTTTGTGTTGCTCAAGACTTGTTAAAACCCCCGACAAGCATACCGTATTTATTCGCCTATAAGCCAATCTCGGCTATAAGCCAAGACCCTAAACTTTTTCATGTCAGCAGCTGTTGCATTCAAATAAAAAATAAACACAAAACATTTGGCTATAAGCCGAGACCTAATAAATACTCGGCTATAAGCCGAACCCCCTACCTTGGCGAGAATTTACCTGTTCTCAGTTTAATTTGTTGGAAAAATCGCTCGGCTTATAGGCAAATAAATACGGTAGTTTGTCTAACAATTAATCATAATCCCTTTCAGTTGGAGTCAATCCCCTTATCTTTAAGACTTCAATGTTTGATTTAGTAGAGGTATTGTGAGGGGAAATGAAAAGTTAGTGTTAAAATTTGTGTGTATATCTGCACTTATCTTTAGGAAGTCATTGGACAGTGCATTATGTTTCTATGCGGGCATAAGGCACACAAGGACTGTGTAATTGCAGCAATTTGCTTCAACATGTAAGTAAACATTTCAAAAGAAAAAAACATGCATTTTGCCCTCGGTCTAAATTATGGCCCTCCTCCTCATAAATACGTTCTCTTCCAGGCATGATTTTGTTTCTTTTCTTTACTTAAGCTTGTCACCTGACACCACTTTCAGTGGAATTCCATCCAAGCAGTTGTACTATAGAATGCTCTGCATATATGTTGCTCTAGCCAAAAATGAACATTTTAGGTTACAAAAAGTATATGTTGGTCTGCAGTTGAAGTGACAAGGGGTGTAGATTGTATTGAACTGTGCTTTAGCTGAACCCAGATTCCACAGGGACCTTACCTTTTATTTCTGGTTGGAATAATTATGTAACCTTGCTTCTAAAATAGTTCCTACAGAGTGGGCACCTTTAGATTTCTTGGATAACAGCCTTCAGTTGAACCCTGTCACCTGAACACAGCTCTTGTTGGGCTTAGGGAAACTAGAGTTTGAGTTGCAAGGGGGTTTATGACTTCTTATCCAACATTTGCAATAAGAGGCTATATGAGTACACAGATTTCATTCTTTGGCCTTTTCTTTTACCCCTGGAAAAATCAAGAATTTCAGCTCTTGCTTCCTGCAGGCCCCAGTTGTTCAAAGGTTGGATAACCCTATCCACTGGATAAAACCCTATAGGGAGGATAATGCTCTCCGTTTTGCTATCAGTTATCCACAGGATAGCAATTTATCTGTTGGATAGCATTATACGACCTTTATACAACTTGGCCCAGATTTTTAGCATGAGCTGAGTTATAGCCCTGTGTGAGGACACATACATAACATAAAACTGCATATTCCTTGAGAACATGAGTATCACAAACCTAAATAAACTTCAAATTTAGTGAGCTACATGTACGACCAGTTTTTACTCCTTTATATCAACTTGATATTGAAAGTCAATGGCTGCTGTTAGCCTTAACTGATGCACCAACTGGGGTAAACCATTAGCTTTGCCTTCAAAGGGAGTTTGTCTTTGACACTTGTAGTTATATTTTCAAGAAAATTTTTATCTCTTTCAGGTTAAATTGTCCAATATGTGGAAAAGATTTCTTGCACTTGGCATAAGGAAGCTGTTACACTTGTGAAAAGATACTTTTTAACCATGTTTTAATATCTTAAAAGATATTTGTGGTCATGCATAAACCTGTAACCTCGTTGGATCATTTTAATGTCTTAAAAGATACTCTTGGTCATGCATAAACCAAGGTTGCCAGGTTGTTAGTCCAATTAATATTAACATTCAGTTGGGCATCACTTAGTTAAGAGGGGCATGCTTTATTTCACTTCCAAATGTGGATTTCTCAAGAGGTTTTGTTTCGCTAGCGATACATTATAATCTCTTCACAACCTGCCAAAAAAATTAAAATAAAAGAAATGAGGTGAACTTTTATAATCTACTAACCCTTGCGAAATGGCTTTTGGAATTCCTAGGAATTCCTAGGATTTTCCTAGGAATTCCTAGGAATTTATTCCTAGGAATTCCTAGGAATTCCTAGGAATAAAGGTGTGAATTTTCACGGTAAATTCGGACTGGGAATTCCTAGGAATTCCTAGGAATTCCCAACCATAACAACTCTGGTTCTAAAAACCTAGAAATTCCTAGAAATTCCCAGAAATTCCCAGAAATTCCCAGAAATTCCCAGAAATTCCAAGTTTATAGCCAACAGGACTTGGAATTCCTAGGAATTCCTAGGAATTCCAACTCAGAGAACCAATGAATTTCCCTGAAAAGCTGTAAATCTAAAAAATTCCTAGGAATTTCTGGGAATTTCTGGGAATTTCTGGGAATTTTTGGGAATTTTTAGGAATGTTTAAGAATTACTGGGAATTTTAAGGAAAAATTTGAGGCTAATGATATAAAATAAATACTTTAAATTAAAAAAAACCCAGCTAAAATTCAAGTATTCAATGAAATTTATTTAGAAGCTTAATTAAGGCTTACATGTAAAATATTTTTGATTAATTAACATCAATGTGTGGTAATATTAGGATTGAATTTGATTTATTTTTCTTTTCTTGAAAACTTCATACGGATTAATCCTCAATTACAGCTATTCATATAAAATAGTTCTAATCAATCATTAAATTTGGTTTGACACAAATTGTGAATAAAATCTGTTGATTCTTTTCCATAAAATACAATATCTTAAGTTATATTTGAAAACCAAGCACTCTTGGGAGTGAAGGGGCTAATTACAGACAAATAAAATTGATTTTTTGATTAAAATCTTGTTGTAACTGTAACAATAAATTAGAATGAAGTTATCCTAAACTGCAAACTTACCTGCTGTTTGTACTGTTTGTATTTTTTTTTCCTGGGCTCACAATGAGTTGGCCTTGAATGAGGTTGTCAACAAGAACCTTGACCATTTTGTATCTGGATTCCTTGACATCTGAATTTGAAAAAAAATAATATATTAAAATATGTATATTTAAAGCTCAGACCAGGCTTTTAAGATGGCTATAGGAAAAGGGCATTCATTGGATTCTCAAATTGAGAAATCTCTGTTATATTGAGTGACTTTTATATTGGAGTTAGTACATCTCTCTCATGGATTTTACTAAAAAAGGGCTGAATACATTATTTTGTTTTTACCAAGGAGGGCTTCTTTATGTACTAAGGTTTGTTTAATAACAGTTCCTATTATGAATCTTGAATGTTCCCAAACGTGACTAGAGGAATCTTGAAACCTTACTGATAGGTTTATTTCATTGTAAAGCATAAGCTTAAGAAACTGCGGCATGCAAGTGACCGATTCGATTCTCAGAATTATTCTAGTTTCAGTTGCGCCGAGCGTTATGTAAGCTTAATTCAACCCGCTACATCTATTCTTTTATAAGATTTTGATCACGTAACGAATATCGCAGTTTTTACTCACCACAAACTTTCAAAATCGTAGCTTTACAGATGGCCACTCGACCCTTGTTTGTACCAGTCAATATGTCAACCGTTGTCCCTTCTTTTCACTCCACGGCGCCAACGACTTTCTTTTCTTTCACAACACTCACGCTATTCTCGTTTTCCCATTGAACCACAATAAAAGCTATCTTTAGAAATGTTATATTAAGCAAAACAGTTGAGAAAAGCGATCAACCGATACAAAGTACATTCAAAGATGAGCGCCAAATGGAGTCTTCTTTGTTTCCGATCACGGGCATGATCACGTGGATCTTTTAGGACTTGTAATTGGCTAGCAAAGTGAATCCGCTGGCTTGCCGATTGCAGTGTTAAGAGAAGCGCCCAACTTTATTCTGACTTCTCCGACCGGTTCTCTGCTTCCAGAAGATGGATAGCTTGGTGATATAAATAAAGATGTGAGCTCACTCTATGTAGAAAGAATCGAAAAGAATCGATCGTATTACAAATGCACGATTTGTGGCCGAAAGTTGTCGAGGAAACAAAGACTCGAAACTCACTTGAGTTGTGTTAATGGCCAAGGTGAGAAATAACACAAGCCAATCACAGTTTTGAATGCGACTACAAATCGTCTTTTACCCTCATATTTATAAAAGAAGGATACCACATTCGGAAGTATAAGAGATACATAGATGATCCCAGTGTACCAGTACCTAAATCTACAAAGCTTGACCGTAGCAAGCGTTCAGCAACACGTTCCAACACCGCCATCTCGATTCCTCAGTCAGTCGTTTCCACTGAACTTAAAGCAGTATTGACAACAGAGTAGAGTGCGTCTTACAAAGGAGAAACATTTGTACAAGAGACAGGAGTAGCTATATGCGATTACAGAGGTGCGTTGGAACTCTGGTCCACAAATAGTTATGCACTGCCCGAAGTATAAAACAATCTTGTTGATAGCTGACAGACAGAGAAGAACAACAAGTAAACTTAAGAGCTGTTATTATTGAAGTGTGACTATCACTTTTCATTTTTATATAAAGAAGGACTTGTAATTTGCACCAAAAATAAAAAGATGTAATATTTTTTGGGGAGATCCAGTGATTGGGACATTTAAGAAATTAAGTTATGAAAGGAAACTTGGTTGGTACTTCTCACTACTAACAAGTCTTGTTGACAAATATTTTCAGATCAGAGTTTCAAATAAAGTAAATTGAAGACGTCATATAAAAGGTGTTTTTCCTCTAAGGGAACATTGACTACCTCTGTCTTGTCTGCATGCCAAATGTTTGCAAAGTGTGTGGATGATCCACAAGTATTGGAACTCTTACAAAAATGTTTTGTAAGAATAAAAACAGCAAAACAAATTACAGCAATTAGTCATGAAAATAGAGCAAAAAACTGAAAATAAAAAGCAGCAACAACAATCATGAAAAAAAAAAGATTAATTAGGTGTTGAATTTGTTTGTCTAAGGCATGAAATTTCTACTAAAAGTATTGTCAACAAAAAGTCTCTGACAGCGTTTGAGGCAACTGAGCTTGACTGTTCCAAGGTTTTCTAACAAAGGCAACCAGTAATGTAGGTTAGGGAAGTAAGATGACAATGTAATTATTGTTAATTATTGTGGAAGTTGGCAATTTCCATTTAACATAACTGACAGCTGGTTCATGAGAAAATCCATATTAATGTAAAGATTTACTAAAACTTAGTTTGAGTAATAAATTTCATGATCTTTAAGTTATAAACATGTACATGTATGTATATCTCTTGGTAAGTTTTGTATAGCATACCTTTTATTGAGCCAACGTTTTAAGCCTCTGAAATTACTCTTTTTCTTAAAACCTTCACATTCAAGGTATTGAGAATTTCTTAGAATTTATGTGGACCTCAGGGTATTAAAATTGCCTCAAATTCAATTCCCAGAAATTCCCAAGAGTTCCATACTTCTTAAATTATAGGTAGTTTGTAAAGCTGAGAATTCCTAGGGATTCCAAGTCCTCACAAAACTGGAGTCTTCCTTTCCCAGAAATTCCCAGTAATTCCAAGCTTTTTAAATCAGAGTTAATTTGCATAGTTGGGAATTTTTGAGAATTCCTAGGAATTCCTAGGAATTCCTAGGAATTTTTAGGAATTCCTAGGAATTCCCAGAAATTCCCAGAAAACTGGGAATTTGGTTTGCAAGGGTCATTTGCATAATTGGGAATTTTTGAGAATTCCTAGGAATTCCTAGGAATTCCTAGGAATTCCTAGGAATTCCCAGAAAACTGGGAATTCAGTTCGCAAGGGAAGGTGGAGGGAATTATTTAATTTTTTCAGAGCAATATTCTATGTTGTCCACACAAATAACTACTGTTTCTATTTAAAAATGTGATCATCATGAGTGTAATTAGAATAAGTATTTTCAGTATTATTAATGACTGGTAGAGTATTGAGTGAAATTTTGATGAACTTGAAATAAATATTTGTAACAGAGTTTGTCATCCAAGGGAAGAGTTTTAGAAGTATAAAATTTTGGTACTATAGAATTTATTCTTTCTAATACAAAGGAACAGTTTATTTATGTTACTGGTTCAATTTTGTTGTAGCTTTCATAAAGTAATCTTATTTTATTATTAGGCTGTAACAGACTTATATAGTAGTTAAGTTCATTTTCCATTAAATGGATGAACTTTGATAAATATAAAAGATATGTTTGAATTAAAAAATTTGTTTTGGTAAACCAAAGAAATTAAAGAGTACAAGTTATACAAAGTGCTGGTTGAGTTCAATGTTCTTAAATATTTTTTGATGGTCTTGACTAAATTTCCTTCCAAGAATGATTCATTGGCAATCTCAGGAAGAACATGACAAAATAATTTTTCTTTTTAGATTTGCAAGTGAAAAAGGTACTGTTGAATACCTATATCAGCTGAGTAATTGGAAAATTCTGTTGTATCCGAAAAATTTGTGCTTTCTAATCTACTCTTCGCCTTAGAGATACAGTTTCCAAACTCAATGGAAGACATTTAATGCAAAACTATCATCAGTAACTCAGCTTTATCTGGAAAAGAACACTTCTGGAAGGTGCATTAAACTTTACGTTTTTTACCATCCAAGTTCCTTTATTGTGATGGAATATGGATTTCCACCACTGGAATCATCCGTATACGGGAAATATTTGAGGATGAAATTTTAATGTTTTTGTGGATATGGATCATGTGGCTACAGTGATGAATTGATCCTTTCTCCCAACCTATTCCATTCTGATTAAATCAAGGGGTAAATACCCACAGGTAGACCACATCATGTGTTTGTGGTTAACAAAAGCTAGGAGGGTTATGTTCGTCTTGTGTCGACAATTATTAACCACAAACACATAGTGTGGTCTGCCTGTGCCTAGCCTGTGAGTGTGAATCACAATTCTCAATGCGAATTTCTCTCTTCCTTCGCTTCAGTATGGCGGACAATGACTCGCTGGATGTCAATAGTGAGCCGTCGCAACTTAATGAGAGAGGTGAGCAGGGAGATACTTTTTCCCGCAGTTAAAAATGTTGGCGT